TCATTTGATATGTGTGAGGGCTGTGATACTGCCCGGGTGCCCAAACCGAAGCAGGTGGTTTTCTTAGGGGGCCACAATCATTTCACCTTTATCGTATGGTTGCTGTTGATTTCGCTCTTGACCATACAAGGTTTTCATGTGGCACGAAGGGACGTTTCGGCGTGAACCTGTTCATCTTGTTGAAGAAAACAATATGATTGTCTCTATCGAAGTTTTAAAATATTCATTCTGAAATCTTGAACAAACTGATAGATATGATAGAAAAATATTTTGCTGCTTCCATTTTCTTAATGTTTAGACAGCATACAAGTATCAATAAATTTGTGAAATATGTCCCAGTAATTTTTATTTATGGAAAAATTATTCAATCTAGCTTATTATGTTTACATAAACACTTTAATGTAAATAAAATTTATGATTGTGATTGTTTATAGATTAAATTCATACACTTTATGTAACCGATTGAATGATTGTTTTTATAGCATGGCCCTATAAACAACGTATAGACATATACAGCATCAACAGATTCATTCAAGAAGATCTAATTTATTGACAGATACTAGTTATATAAGTCATGCAATTTAATCACAGATACACTCAGTCGTAATAAATAATAAGTTTCATTTATATGCTAAGAATGATATCAGAACGTATGCAGTAATCAGTATCTCACCAAATAATATCAGTGAAACTTCGAATAAAATTACCTGATAGACAGTACAAAAAACGTAATCATTTGTGGTTCAAGCTCCTAATACTTATAATTTTAACCTACTATTTTCGGTAAAAGGGTAATATAGAGACGGGTTAATGAGCGTCTAAAATTTCATGCAATTAGTTTCATGAATTTAAATAAAACCAACACAAAAATTGATGCAGAATCTATTATATTTCTCGGTTTCTCATCAGCCACTTACAATCAAATATGAATTAGAAGTTTACATTGAGGTAAGATATAGTGTGGAACAATTGACATAGGCGAATGAAAAGAATTTGGATGACAAAGGTTATCAGTCATAACTATATATATATATATATATATCAAGTATAACAATAAGTGAAAATACCATTGTATACTGCTCAAAACATTAAAATTGATTTTATGTCACCACAGAGTAAAAATGATGTTTAATGTATCGAACGCTCAATACAATTACAAATATTGCCAAAGACCAAGACAGAATGATATATTTCCATGTATTGGCAAATAATCGATATTACGAATTATTCGTGACGAGCTACCGTTTTTAGAGTTAATGGGCATATATGAAGTCAAACCAACCACGAATACACCTAAATGTACATCACAAAAACGTGGAAAACAAGTTATTACTTATGTTCATAGCAAAACAATCAAACCGCTGTCTAGACGCCCACCACGTCGACCCCGTCTAATGTGTCTGTAGACTATCCCTGTTGCATGTGGCCTGCCAATTCAAGGACAATACTTTCTATGATATTAGTGTGACCGCAACTTATGTTTGTTTTATTCACTTCAATAAGACACATAATATCAGTATCGTGTTTACGGTTGCGGTAGAATATCTGTAGGACAAATTAGGTCCTACAGTTTTAGCTCCATAAAACAGAATTGTCTTAAAGTCCGTACTGAAGATTCTGACTTGGGTGTCGGTTAATAGTTGTTCAGAGTTCCATATACTCTTTAACTGTAGTGATGACACCCTTGCCGTTATATTTGCACCTGACCCTCCCTGCTTGTTGATTATGCTCCCCAGATATATGAAGGCTTTAACTTATTCCAGAGCTTCTCCATCAAGTGTGATTGGGTCGGTGCTCATTAAATTGTATTTGAGGATCTTGCTTTTTCCCTTGTGTATGCTGAAACCTACTGCTGCAGAGGCTGCTACCACACTGGCTGTCTTTACCGGTATTTGTTGGTGTGTATGAATTAGAAGATCTAGTTCATCTGTTAAGACCCAATTGTCTAGCCGCATCCAAGATGTAAAATTGTAGTCTAGTTCTTTCTATTAATAATGCTATAATACTAGACCTAATCCTAAAATTATAGATCTATCATAATGTGACTACCTAATCAATGAAATCTTACATGGAAGCCCCATCGTTGTCTACAATGACTTGTCGTATAGTAAGAATTTGCAACATAACATCTAATATTTCTGAAGAACATAATTGGCTGAAGATGGAATAATATATTTAATGTGAATAAAGACAAGTTATACAGAATGACTATGTCTGTGAGGCTGAGCTATGCCATCCGACTGAATGAATGTTCCCACGTTTACCATTCTTGACCTTCTCTTAGTGTTACATGTTGAAAGTGAATCTTCTCAGTAAATATATTTTCAGCTTCGGAAATCGTGTTGTTAGTATCCGAATACTACTACAATGTCCACAATATTTCGTGCTTCCCGTCAGATGTGGTCTTCGTAATCCAGTCAACCAAAAGAAGAGAAAGGGTGAGATTAAGCAGTTTTGTATGACACTAGTCTTCATTTGGAATGTATCTGTCAACTATCCTCTATGCGCCTCTTTGAATTGTTGTCCATTAATTCCGTATGATTATGATGAATGTCTTCACAGCTACTCACTCCATAGTGTCGAATAGGTTTCCATAATGTTCTCCTATCCACGCTGTCAAATGCAGTTATAGTCAAGGAAGTTGATGTTTCCATAGTTCCATTCTATCGATTGTTTAACGCTGATCCGTAGTTTTGATATTTGGTCTGTACACAACGGATCCTTACGAAGTACAGCCTTTTTTTCTTGGAGTCGTGCGTCTACTGAATCTTTCATCTGTTTCAACAATACTTTTGGAAACATTTCCTGTTACTGATAGTAGTGCGATGCCTCCGTAATTCTCACATATGCTGAGCTCTCCTTACTTTAGTATCTTGATGAGATATCCTTCATTCTAGTCTTTTGTCACTCGTCCTTTCTCCCAAATATTCCTGAATAGAAATATCTAGATGTCTGACTTCACCTCCGCTTGTATCACTTCTAGGGTTACCGCCGGTTCCAAGTCCGGTTAAAGATGGAGGGTTGGACATGAGGTCAGCAAGCCCATACCGTAGAAAAAAACCTCGCCGAATGTTTGAAACCGTTTAACAAAATATTGAAATCTTAGAAAACACTTCACTAGTTACGTTGAATATCGGTTTAAATTGATTTCTCTTGCGCAGATTTTGTTTTAGTGGAGTTATAAAATAACCAATCTCGTAAACTGGAACTTACCTTGAATTATATTGCATTGTAGTCTAACCTTCTATCTCCGATACAAGTCAGTTTTTAAGTGAGTATAAATAAACTTACGTCGCTAACAAGGTGTTTCCGATTATTCAGTCAGACGTTAATCAAATATACGACATTGTCTCACATGTAACAAATTGCCACGGAACAAATAGATGACCAAGAAGACCTTAAAATGTTTAGGAAAGATTGGGTCGTTAATATATAATTCATGTTAGTGTAATAATGAGAAATACTTTGGTATTTCACATATGGGGTCGTCTTGCACAGAAATAGTGTTTATGTGACCATTAGATGAAAACCTTTGTTCATCCCAAGTTTATGCTAATCTTAGACTGAAAGTAAGTGTCAATATGAACTCATTTACGCACATTAATAATGTTCTAATTGTAACTTAATTTAGAACTAATGTAAGTGATTATTTATTACTAATAGATCTCCAATTCTTACATTTTTAAGTAAGATTTATAGTTAGTAGAGGCACAAAACAAAGACAATTTACCCACTTTATAATCTTGAACAATTTGGAGTCATTTCATACATTAATTTCAATTTATAATCAAGTAAATGATTAGTTGTCGTATATAATAAAGTGTGGTTAGTTTTGATCCTTTTTCCTTGTTATTTACTTCAGATCCTTTTTAATGAAATACTTTGTTGTTTTCATTTCAAGACTACGAAAATAGTATATTATCAATAAAGCTTTTCATATGATTATATTTTTTTTAAAGCAATAAAACCATTCTTTGAACAACTTTATGCGTATTGTCTATTATTACTGATATATCAAATTACACTTTTTCTTTAGCATCTAATAAATGTATTAGATATATATCTATACAAACATTAAAAATTAGTTCATATTATCAACAGAACAGATCATAACAAAAAAATCAATTAAGAATCTACTTGAACCTTTAAATAAAACAATTTTTCCTGGCTACCCTATTAGATATGAATACCGATTGAGATTAAAACATTCAATGTCTCTGTGGAAGAAAATTAGAAAAAAGGGATTTATTTTCATTAAATTATTGTTTCAAAATCTATAAAAATACATATGGCATGTATTTTAATACACAATTTCACCTTTTGTTCTTTTTAATAAAACGATTTTTTATTTAGTAAGTAACAATACAAAAAGACAATAAACTTGTACACAATACAATGAAAATGAAGCAAATGTCAATTTTTATTCATCAAAATACATTGTTATTATTCGATTTACTAATACATTCTTTAAATATATTTAAGATTACTAAAATATAATTTGTAGAGAAAATGGTTGATCATTTTACATAAAGAAATATTACCGAAGTGATTGATTGAAAAGAGAAAAATAAAGAATTGACCAATAACAAAAAGTTAAACAGAGAAGTACATTGAATATTAGATGTAAAAGGAATGTACAGAAAGCAAAAATAGCTTATCGTCTGTTTGTTATGTAATCACAATTATATATATATATATATATATATATATATATATATATATATATATATATATATATATATATATATATAAGAATTGGCATTCACAGTTAGATAAAGACCTTTTATTTATTAACACAACATGAGAAACATGGAGAAAAATAAATGTATCTGAAATGAAAGAAATTTTAGGAACAATTGTACAGTTGTACAAATGACACAAATACACCGTGAGTCCTAACAATTTCAAAGTGCTTCAAAAATATTATTAACCAATACAAAGTGAAAATAAGTTTTATATATATATATATATAAACTAACTGATAATTACGAACGTTAAAGTTAAGAATTTGTGTCTGGATTCCCAAAAAACACACTGAACGCAAATATTATAAATGTCACACCTCCGATAAATGTAACTAGATATTTAAAAAAAGTTATAAAAGAAAAGTTACGTAATTAACAATATACATGAAGTGGCGAGAAAATAAAACATAGATTCTCACACATCGTAACAATTCCCACACAGTGATAAAAATGAGAGAAATATCGAAACAGTAAAACAGCTCCGTTACGAATGCTTTTAAGTCATACCATTCGAAGACCAGCGAAAAAAACCTTTTTATGACAACATTTTTAAATTACAGGACTAACAAGAATTACAGTAAACAAGTGATCAGATCAGTTATGTCTACTAAATGGATGTCATCTATAAATGGTTTATGAAAATGAGTGTTGAATAAGTTTGTGATAATATTGTAAACTTTTTACTTCAACACCCGTATTACATTTTAAGGTAAGTTATCAGGGATTACTATTTGTCAGAAACGTTAGCTTTCTTCGTTTTAATTCATTTTTGTTCTAAATAAATTTTTAGATGTAACAATTTCTTTCTACAACTTCTCATGGAACAGTCTTACAGTCGAAGATTATTTGACCATACCTCAAGTAAGTGAAGACAAATTCCTCTTAGATATGTATATGTTTAATACAAAGTGTCCTCACTATACATTGAATGAGAGTGCTAAGATGATTAGAATTCACTACTTACGTTCTTACTAATAAATGCTTCTTCAGGGACCGTGTGAAGTTATGTTCAGTTTAATGCAACTGAAATAATCGGGTATGTCGGTATAATTGTTTTCACTCCTTTTACATTCTAACAGTTCAGTTTCCTTTATTTTATTGATGTGAAGTGTCACAACTTGAACTGATACACAAATATGCTAGTTATTTGTATAGTTGTCTGTACCATTTCTTCATTTACCCTTTCGTTTTTCATGGTTCAGACTAGGAAAACTCAATGTGATTCGTTTTTATGCAAAGTATTAACCAGATTTAGTCACTTTAAAAAATAAAATCTTAATTGAGATGGACGACCACTCATACGATATCACGTCCTTCTACTATCTCTCTTAATATTCATATATTGCGATCATCTTCAATCTGGATAGAAACACTACAAATTTCAGAGACTTTATGTTATGAACTTCATCCAAATTGAAAAACATGTGAACCAATTTCGCATACTCCATGGAAAGTTGAATCATTTCAAAACATTTTTGTATAATTGTGAGATCGTAGAAAAGTTTGTTCTACAAACTTTTGTAATATCTTAACTTCACTGCACTGAGAAACAGTAATTGCCGAGGACTCACTAAAATTTTAGAAAAATGAGCTCTACACTAATATGTCATTACCTAAGACATTACTTGTAATTATTAACTCAGTCAATAAATGCAGATCCATACATTTGGCCCCGACGGACAACATAAATGTGAGAGCTGGTGGTACTTTCTAGCTGCTCAGAATTTAAACCTCCAAATTAGTGGCTGAAAGTTGAAAGCTTTCACATCTGATCAACCGTCACTAGGCATAAATTAGGATAATATGAAGTTGAAAGAATTTGGAATGCGTACTAAACCGTCAATCCTATTCGACTAAGGCATTAAAAAATCACACTTGACAAAAAAAACGGTCTAAAACAATGAATATGAGATAAAATATAAATACAATGAAGAATTCAAACTTTTAAATAAATAAATAATATGTTTGTAATATCCCAATGAGTAGAAAAATTAGATTTTCTGACGTTTCGTGACTTAGTGTAAGCCCTTTCTTCAGAGAATAAATAACCAAATTACAATTAATTCAAGTTATTCATTCTCTGAAGTGGCTTTACTAAGTCACGAAACGTCAGGAAATCTAATTTTTCTACTAATTGGGATATTACAAATATATTATTTATTTATTTATAACAATCTACCCAATGCTCAATTTATTCGAAACTATCAAATCAAACCTTGGTAATGATACCTACAAATTCAAACTTTTGCTTAAGAAAGTTGAACGTTATAGTTTATTTCTAAATCTATCATGCTCATAGCCTTAAGTGATCAGATATTATTTTGCCCTAATTTACGGCATATACTTAATACCAGCACGGCGGAAAGTTTAGAGATAATATTTTTTGATAACTTCAATAGCTGACTCTTATAATTTATATACTTAACGCCGGATATGATTACTTACATTTTAAATGTGCTGTTTAATAACATATTAAAAAGGTTTTGGTGCTCTGAGTCTCGTTCCATCGCTGCGGTATATTTATTCAGCCTAGCTTCAGTGATATCTGTTTGCTTTTGATATACGTGGAGAAGACAGTCCTTTGATTCTGGGTTACATGCTTTAATCACTGAAAAGGACAGTAATCAATCATCATAAGAGATTTTTATTAATTATAAGTTTACACTCTGCTGTACTGTTTTAAAAACGTTCTTTCTAAGGAGATTTAGAGATCTGATGGATTCAACGAGTAAAGCTGATTAGTTTTGAATTTTCACCAAGCAAGTAATAGGTAATACACAGTAGAAATTACGAAAAGATAATCGAGATATGTATTTGATACTGAATTTCTGAGAATCAAGTATTTACTTACTCCATTGTACAGGAATACGTTGAGCAACAAAACGACCCATAAGGACAGCCAAGCCTGTGCATAAAGCATGACCGACAACTCCACCTACGATTACACCCAAAGCACTCTACAGATGGAAACAAAAATCAGAAAAGTGCTGAGAACAATGTACCAGTGAAAGTACTACTACTAATACCGTAAAAAGCCTACTGTAGTGAAATTCTGAATTATTAAAAGTTTTTCAAAGCCTGATTAGAAAGCTTTTCAGTAAATGTATGATAATAATTTTTGTTGCTATTTGCTTCACATTTAATGCAGATACATTGTGGTACAACAAGGAACCAAGAAAAGTATGCACCACACAAATATAAAGATAACATAGTGAAGAAATAGAGGGGTACAGTTTAGTTAATAAAAACCGAGGCTTATTTTTAGTTAAGGGAGTTCCTTTCATTTTTATGTAAAAACACCAGGGCCGCCATTCGTATCTATCCTGAGCCACATCTGATAAAGTCTGAAGCTACTGAAGTGGTCAGTACTCGGTATGATTATTTAAATTCGTATGCAGCTCGGCCTGATAACCGTTACTAGATAACGCCCAACAGTGTATAAATCAGAAGACTAATACGAAGCGTCGATTACGTTTATTATTGCACCATGCACAAACCACCAAGACCACAGACACACGAAGCAAGAATGATATGCGAGTGCCGAAGAGCAAGCGAGCGAGTGAGTTAATGCACAAGATTAAAATGTAAACATACATACATAGGAAAATGAGTGCGTCATGGGATCATTTAGGCGACTAACACTAAAGCTAGCGGAATGAATATGTGCGTAGACGGTAAACAATGCTTAAGCACAAATATTCATACTCGGTTCTATCTAAATGATATCGCGTCACTAACTGGTTGAAAATTGAATGCTACCACCGAATACGAACACTGAAAGTCTTTCTGAAACCACGTGCACCATTTAAAATAGCTGCCTTCAACGCTCGCACACTTATGCAGATTGGATAGCAGATAAGGCTGGCTATGTCTTTGGAAAGTTTTAATATCGACGTTTGTTGTCTATCCGAGACCCGCATTCAAGACTCTGGTGAAGTACTACAAATTCGCTCTCCATCTGTCGTTTCAAAAAGCTTGTTCTACGTGCGTTTATCCGGGGACCCTCTCGCACCTTCGTCTGGTCTTGCTGGCGTTGGTGTCGCACTAAGCGCTAGAGCTGAGGCAGCACTAATCGACTGGATCCCCATTAACAGTCGGTTATGTGCTGTCAGATTAGAAAGCCCCATCAAAGTGAGAAGAAATCGACGTGAGAAACGATGTCTTTTTGTCATCTCTGCCTATGTCCCGACAGATTGCAGCCCGGATGCAATCAAGAATGAGTTCTACCACCAGTTAACTGTTCTTCTCCAGAAAGTGCGTTCGACAGATATTGTAGTACTAGCTGGAGACTTGAATGCTCAGGTCGGGCGTCTAGGCACAGAAGAAAGTCGTTTAGGTGGCCGATGGAGACTTGTTGGTCGCAGGACAGATAACGGGGACCGTCTACTGCAACTGTGCACAGACCACAACCTGTTTCTGGCTAGCACTAACTTCCGGCACATTCATCGCCGATGTGCCACCTGGCGTCCTCCCTCTGCATCTCAAGCCTGGACTCAGATTGATCACATCCCGATCAGCTACCGCTGGCGTGGTTGTGCACAAAACTGCCGCTGCTTTTGGAGTACATATCTGGACTCTGATCATGCCCTGGTCTGCGCCAATCTTACCTTACTTTTCAGTGGCCAACGAATTGATGTCAGTAAATTGGTTGCAACTTCCGTTGCAAGCAAGTACCGAACCGAGCTAGCTTCTAGGCTAGCTACCATTCCACTGAAAAGTATAGATGAGCATTGGTTGCGATTGCATGACGCCCTGAAAATGGCGGGTAGAGTCTGTTGTGGGTTCGCGAAACGTCACGCTTATAAGCACTGGGTTTCTCCAGGCTCCTTTCAACTCATTGAAGCCTATCGGTCTACTCCGAGTGACCGTGAGTTTGACCACAGACGAAGAATGTTACGTACTGAAATTGGGAAAAGCTTGTACAAGTACCGAAAAGCCTGGTGGTCGGAGCATGCTAATGAGCTGGAAGCAGCAGATGCATCTGATAACTACCCGAAGCTCTTCCAACTCATCCGAGCCACTGGCAGCAAGAAGTTTGGTGTGTGCGAAAAAATGTGTGAGGATGACGGAACGCCAAGCACTAACATCCATCGACGTCTTGGACGATGGGCAGAATTTTTCGAAGGGCAGTTCAACTGACCTGCTGCTCCGGCAACGTCGGTCAGACTGTCCTGCCCTCCATGGCCGGTGACGACTGATCCAACAAATGTGGCGGAAGTCTGCAAGGAACTCCAACTCTTGAAACGCTACAAATCAACGGGCCCAGATAACTTACCCCCGGCTCTCTTTAAAGTTGGTGGTGACTTTCTGACTAAGGGACTGACGACGTTGTTTGCAAAGGTCTGGGAACTAGAGAGTGTACCAACGTCACGGAATGAGTCGATAGTTGTCCCTATATTTACAAAGAGTTCATGTCGATTTAGCAACAATCATCGAGGAATGAGTCTACTCTCGATCGCGTCCAACCTATTTGCTTCCGTTATACTTCGTAGGTTGTTCAAAACCCGAGAAGGATTGACTCGCAAGGAGCAGGCTGCTTTTCGTTCTGGTCGACGATGTATTGATCATATCTTCACCCTCCGCCAAATGTTGGAGCACTGTCATACTTATTACAGGCCAACAATCGTAGTGTTTCTTGACATCAGGGCTGCCTTCGATTCGTTGGACAGGACTGTTCTCTGGGATTGTCTATTGAGGAAGGGTGTGCCTGAGAAGTTTATTGACATCCTTAAAGCCCTACACACAAACACGTCAGGTAGTGGTGGTGCGGCTCTGTTGTCTGGAGAAAGACTTCTTGACCTTGAGTATGCGGATGTTATTGTCTTACCGTGAAATGATACCCAAGCTATACAATCCTCACTTAATCAACAGACAATTAGTTTCTGGACGTATGGTATGCGTTCTGCACCTTCGAAGTGTAACGTGCTTTTACAAGACTGGCAGGATTCTGATCCTGTACTCACATTGGATGGTGAGCAGGTAGAAGTAGTCTAGAAGTTCGTGTATCTGCATAAGTGCTGGTGGTGGCGTGAGTGATGAGATCGATTCACGTATAGTGAATGCCAGAGAGGCTTATGCCAATCTGGGACACCTTTGGCGCCTTCGTGATGTTAGTCTGGCTGTAAAAGGTCGGATCTACAACGCGTCGGTGGGAGCAGTTTTGCTCTATGCTTGTGAAACCAGGCCTCTCCGAGTTGAGGGTGTTAGACCACACTCTATGTTCGATCATCGTTGTCTCCGAAGGATTGCTGACATCCAGTGGCTACATCATGTTAGTAATGCAGAGGTTCGGCATCGTGTGTTCGGGCACAGAGACGATAATCTAATTGGTGTCACTATCTCGAAACATCGGCTTCGGTGGCTTGGACATGTTCTACGAATGTCATCCCAGAGAATTCCACGTCGTGCATTATTTGTCGACTCTGGGACTGGTTGGAAAAAGCGGAGAGGTGGTCAGTGTATGACATGGTGTCGTGGCATGAAAGAAAGCTGCTAAGGGCTGGCTTCTATTGGTCCTTCACGACTCCCTGGTTGGGGTCCGAGAGATTGTGCAACACAGTGGCTAGAGACGTTAACAGATATGGCTCAGAATAGAAGCCAGTGGCGATCCTGCTGTAACGTTCTTTTACTTTCTTTATAAAAAGTGGTTGTAACTTCCTTAACTGGAAAAATTCTTCTGGTCGAACCTTTTGGTTTCACTCACTATTATTATTATCATTAATATTACACTAACATGCACTGATCTAAGGTCGTTATTGTTTTTTTTCCTATACGCACCTTACATTCTTTTTCTCTCCCCATTCTCATTGTTTTGCATGGCGCATGTATATCTGGTGCCCCCTTGTACCAATGTTTATGTGTTCAAACAAATAAATAAATAAATATAAATAATGTGCCTAGACACTCGAACTACACATTCAAGTCTCCGGCTCGCAATACATTGTGTACCGAATGCGCTTTCTTGAGATCACTTTACTGGTGGTGGAACCCATCTTGGACTTCATCCGAGCTACAATAGGTCAGTGTGTAGGCAGAGGTTACGCAAAGATATTTCCCAAATCCATTTCTTTTCACTTTAATCGACCTTCCTAATGTAACAACACACAAATAACTTTTAGTGGAGATCCAAGTAAGTGGTGTTGACTCAGATCTGGTACGCAGTGGGACGTCAATGCCGACCAGGCAGGACGCTGATGATACCGTCTCCGGATAAGTCTGTGTGGAAAAGAACTTTGAAATGATAAACGATAAGGGAATTTGTGCTGCTTCACTCATGTTCTGAAAATAAGTCTTACAATTAGAGCATAAGTTGATATCTAAACTTTCTAAAGAAATGGCGAAAGCTATCTGTTATACAACTTGCAATTGCGTTCAAACGTCGAAAGAGGTCAGTTTAAGTGGCACACATGACTAGAAAAGCTAATTCAAACCGCGCGTTCAAGGGTAGCATGCGTAAAATAGATTGTTCTGCCACCTGAAAAAGCTTATAGAGGACAGAACCTTGAACCGAGACAAGTTTCTGAGTGATTACAATATGGAAATAACACGGGATGAAAGTGAAATATTATAAAACAAACAATTTTTGATCAAACAGACGGCAGATAAGGTTTGAATTAGTAGTGAAGCAGAATAAAGTCACTTTTTTGTATATATTAATCATTATGTTGATGAGTGGGAAGGAATGCTGCTCAGGTACCAAAACTGAAGCATGTACTTTATCGCGAAGGTCGTTTCCCGGGGCGTTTGTCCTAGAGGACTAGTCCACAGGGTAGTGAGGCAACGTTAGGAGACATGACCCAGAAATATACGATCGCATAAAAAGGTAAGGATTTATAAATCTCTTAGATCATTTGTATAGTAAGTGTCACAAATAATGTAGCATCAAAAAGTATATGACGAATATCGAAAATAAAGTCGAGATGCTTTCACCCTCAAAAGATAGCAAATTTATATTGACGAATGAAAAACTATTGCTAAGCAGTAAAACAATATATTGCGTCTGTCACCTAATACAAAAGTACTACGACTCAGGACAGTCAATTATAGAAGTAGAGGAGATAAAACATGGAACCTGACAGAAATTCACGTAAATCCCAAAAAAGATAGGTAATACAATTAGTGACGTAAATACGTAATACATATACCAACAAGAAACGCACGAAAACTGTCTGGGGAAGGAACGCTTTATAAGCGATCTATGGAGTAAACCTAGTCAGAAACTTGATCTGTACCCTAAAGAATTGTGTGACCTTTAGTCTTGTTTACAATGTTTCGCCCTGTCATAAGTAAGCCGAACAATAAAGTTGAATAAAAAAGTAATAGCCACATTGGGTCTCGATTGTGTTTTGAATGTATAAGCCAAGAATGAAGTTCCCATTCAATGTCAGATTTCTCTAAACAAAAAACATATAAACGTTACAACGTATGTTGTATGGCAATGAACATTGTTTATTAGTATGGAAGATAAAGTAGTGTTTACATAAGATTATGTCTTATGGTTGATTTAAAGGGTAATCTCTGCGAATCTCAACCTATTTTGTAGAGAAGATATTAATATGAAACAATGCCAGTGAAAACATCCAATGATTACTCGAAAGCATTCTAGGTGGTGCGACTGGGTTGGAATTCGACATTAATTAAACATACAATGCTTTAGGACAGGCATGAGTCAGCGCTTGAATTAGTGATAGGTAATGAAATAGTTGAGCGTATCGGCATGTTTTACGCATGCCCTAAAACTGCCTAATTCAATGGGCAATGTTGTATGATGTAGGGATAAACTGGGAGAAAACTGGGGGTTGTCAGACCAAAACGTAGCACCAGTTTATGAGTTCATTGACAATTGGACTGAGCCATGTTACCAGGTCTAGACTACCTGGTTGCGGTTGGAGTTGGCGTGTTAGCTCCGTTCTTCAAAGGGCCTTACCGCCGGAGAAGGAAATCCGTGAGGTAAGGTGAGGTGTGACAATTTTAAGGTCGACCTCTTCTAACCCCTTCATTCCTTGTGAGAATGCAGCATCGCTGCAGATGCTAGTTGTCCAAGGGGAACACCTTACTACTGTCATACCCCTCTACAGTCAGCAGTACCACTTCGCCTTCAAACCTTGAGTTGCTGCTTTAAGTTTTACCGTTCTCCAATAGACCAGCCTGGCATGGTAGAACGTGCAGGAACATGTGTCCCAGCCAATATAGCTCGGTTGGGTCATCACGATAGGCAAGGCCGACCACCACGTCAAGGTAGCAGCTACGGTCGGGATACCCGGGCTTTGGACCGGCATGAGGTAAAGAGTGATTCCAGGTAGAGTTAACTATAGTGCGCTGTACTATTTTACATATTCTTAGGCAGAGGCTGTAGCAGTTTTCTCTGAATCGTCCTGATGTTGGTAAATGTACTGCCGAAGCGAGTATGAACCGGATAGTACTAGACATTAGTTAGTTAATAACATAATGTATAAATATAGTTCACGATATTATAAGTTTAAACTATTATAGCCGACAAATGTAATGAATTCACTGAGTTGTATGAATACTCCTTGCTAATAATAAGACGACAAAGAAAACTTTATAGGTACTGTGCTGTACTCGTGCTCTGATGTATCTATGTTTTGCGCTCCATTTTATAACTATGAAATATCTTCCATATTTTTTCCGTACACTAGTTGAAGCTTGTAAGATTTTGAACAACACTTCTTTTCACTCTCAGTTGATATATTGCCTTATGATGCATCTACTATTTTAATTAAATAAAACCATCATGTACTAACTGATTGGTCTTATCGATGACCATATTGTTTTCACAGTGTATAATATTTTCGTTTGAAACTTAGTGACGAAATAGAGTCATCTTTGCACTTATGATATGTCTATCCATTACTGCTATGTTGCTTCAGGACTGGCCGGCGTCAGTGCTTGAATCGGCGATAGGGAATGAAGTAGTTGAGCGTATCGACAGCCTCACTTATCTTAGGAATCCGGTCAGTCCTGGTGAACTGATGTCTGACGAAACCTCGGCACCGATTCAAAAATCTCGATTGACTTTTGCCAGTGTACGTCACTTGTAGCGTAGGTGAGATATCTGTCTACCAACTAAAAAAATGAGTTTACTGCACAGCATTTCACTCTGTTCTGCTTTGTGAATGTGAAATACATTTGTTAGGAGTAGAGGTTTCTAGTATTCGATCATAGATGTCTTAGAAGCATTACTCGTGTACTTTGGGACCAGCGGGTAAACAATATTAAGACTAGGTGTAGGTTTTACTTATTTACTCACGCTTGTTACTCCTCGCGAAGGAGCATAGGCCGCTCACCAGTATTCTCCCTCCAACCCTGTCCTGGGCAATCCTTTCTAGCTCCTTCCAGTTGTTATTCATCCTTTTCATATCTGATTCTATTTCCAGACGTAATGTGTTCTTTGGCCTTCCTCTTTTCCGCTTCCCTTCAGGATTCCAAGTTAGCGCTTGTCTCGTGGTGCAGTCTGATGATTTGCGTAATGTATGTCCTATCCATTTCCATCGTCTTTCCCTAATTTCCTCTTCAGCTGGGAGCTGGTTTGTTCTCTCCCACAAAAAGCTGTTGCTTATGGTATAGGTGTAGGGTACTATTAAGTAAAAAGGACTAAATCGATTGATAAGGTAGTAACGCTTCATTAACTGAGGTGTCTAGGACATGCGTTACGTATGCCTAATAACTACCTACTTCAATGGGCAATGTTGTATGATGTAGGGATAAACTGGGAGAAAACTGGGGGTTGTCAGACCAAAACGTAGCACCAGTTTATGAGTTCATTGACAATTGGACTGAGTCATGTTACCAGGTCTAGACTACCTGGTTGCGGTTGGAGTTGGCGTGATTATTGTAACCAGTGGTTAGAGACCTCGAATGACATACCTGGAAGTCGTTCGTAAAAATACAGGATCATACATATTTGTACTCTCCTAGGTCATATGTTCCTGGATTTTTCACAATTTTTTTTCACTAATTTGTGTTCTTGCATCGCATCTTCGATATTTAATCCTTTTTGTTATCACTAGTACTTTTAACTACCCTTGTTACACTGGAATTTTCCCTAACATTTCCACCTTACTGTGCTTATAGGTTGTGGCAACTGGAACTGATGTTTACACTCAACAAGTTCTATGTTGTTTTTGACTAACTGAACAGTATACCACAAGATGTCTTGTCATCTCTTTTAATTACTTGATCGATAAGAGGCTCCAAAATATCTAGCTCATATCTGGATTTTAGACGTGATCAAACAGCATCACCCTCTTACGTATTTCTTTACTTGTACTTATTATTGTTTTGAGGAAAATTAATTTAATGGCGTTCTTTTACATAACAAACATGTTTTTGGACTTCACAGGAAAGCACCTTCCGGGAATATTATCACATCAAAGTAACTTGTTAATGGAATCGTAACTTAGTCGTCAAAGTTAGTTTCCTGAATTCTCTCAGTGTATACTATGAATTTACTTATTCTTTTCCATCGAAAAGTAGGAAAAGAAATATCCAACTTGTGGAAATTCGATAAACATATTTGTGTTATTCTGAGTAGCTGAGGTAATAAACGAAATTCACTCATTTTTAGATCGTATTAAGAATCCACGCATGTGATTCGTGCTGTAGAGACTAAATTTAATTATCTACTTTAAAGCTTTCTAGCCGCATTTTGTATCCATAATAAACTACTTATTAAGCTTTTTTGTTCACTATTTTAGATCAGAAGGTCGCTCGTCAAGGTGTAGAATTGGATGATCCAGGAAATATTAATGGAATCCCAACCGTCGAGTACAATCTTTCCACATTAGGAGATGAAGAAAAACCATGGAAGCGACCCGGAGCCGATATAACAGACTACTTTAATTATGGATTTACTGAAGAGACGTGGATTCAATATTGTGAGAAACAGAAAATCTTGAGACAGGAATATGCTAACACAACACTGAAGCCTGTTTTAAGTAGTGGGGGTGCCAATTTGTTACAGCGGATTCGTTCTGGTACAGTTTCTTCCAATACCCGCTCATTCGATGGTTCTAAACAAGCTAGTATCAATGTAATAAATCTGAGTGGTCCTGGATTAAACACGCGATATTTAAATTCTATTTCCAGCTCTAAATCCGGAAATTCCCCATGATCTCAAATCTCGAGAGGGAGAGCGGACTCTCCCCACTCTCGGCCGTACCAGGGCATTTGGGGGTAAAGTAAAATCATGCGGCTCATGGGGACAAAACGGTAAGAAGTGACGGGTTACATATGTACTACAACTATTAAGAGGGTAGACTTAACTAATTCATTGTGTACATCCCGGCCGTAACTTCTATCTTGAGGTGGTGGTCAAGCTCCATAACTTAATGACCCAACAGAGCTATATTTGCTGGAACAATTATTCCTTTAGTTTCTACTATGCCAGGTAAATCAGTTGAAAAACAACAGGCCTAAAAACAGCAAATTAAAGCCGAGGGCGTGGTCATACTTCTAAATGTACAGAGGCGCAACGGCAATAAGGTTTGGTCCACGAGTAAGTGACAAATACCCTCAATAACAGTACGCGTGACAATGTACGTCATGTTATTTTCAATAAATTCACAACTCCAAGTCAGGCGTGAGAATATTTTGCATATACTTTCCTCATAGGGAACGAGAAAGATCCAGAATTTTTATGTACTTTTAAAGAATTTTAAGAAATATGTTACTAAAGACAGGTGGGTGCTTACTTTATGCAAACCAATTATGGGACGTTATGTTCACAAAACTAATATGTGGTTTCGAGGTGGTCACTTACCTTTGTAGCTGCGAGAACAATTGTAGTTATTTGAGACCTATCACCCCATTCTGCAAAAAATGTGAGCACAAAAGCCTCCACAAAGATTGGAGTAAATATGTTTCTTGTGATCGTAATTAATTTTGAGGGCAATCCCTGGGGAGAGCCTGTGGTTGAACGACCAGCTTCCATATCATCTGCTCTAGACTGTGTCAGTTGCATATGAACTTCATCGAACTCTTCTTTGGCTGTACTGGAAGACATAGAATATGCTAAGCACTTATGAAGCTTGTCGAACGTTACCTTCATAGAGCATTTTCAGGCCGAATATAAAAAATAAAGCACCGGAAAAATAAAAGGTTACAAAGCGCGGGATGATTGTTGTTGCGTAACCAAGGAATGCTGTAAGAAATCAGTTAGGAATAGATATCACTACCCGACAACATTGTCATGGTGATAAGAGCGAACATCGCTCCACAATAAACTAAAGCTCGTGGATGTTGCATAGACATAATAGCAGCGATAAAAAATGTCTTATCGCCAATCTCAGATATTATAATAACGTAAAATGAAGACGAAAATCCAGATAAGAACACATTCCATGCTGTATTAACTTCCTCGGTCGATTTGACCTGATCATCTTTTATGACTGGAAGTTTTGATGTCGCATATGGAGGTATATCTAAGCAACTGACCCCACTGCACAGGATAATAAGAAAGATACATCCTATTGGAAACACCATCAAAATACCTGTAACGCAACGGCAGAATTGCGCGCTATATTTTGCACGCAGTAATAGGGATAGTCTTTAGTTATAGGAATAGTAGGTTGCTGTATCTGTGTTAAACCTGATAATTTATCTTCAGGTGAAGGCTCAACTTCTACCTGACGATGTTCATTGATGGGGTTATCACCACATGTTTGTGTAAGGCGTTCCAGTCATTAACCACTCGATGAGAAAAACGGAACCCCCCCTTTAATTTTACTAGACCGCGACTTGTGAACCTAATTTTTATGACCGCAAAGATTATTATTTCTTCAGGGATCATAAAAATACAACATATTAACATCCAACTCGTAATTAAAGATACGAAATACCTATATAAGTTCACCTCGCATCCTACGATACGATATGTGGAAATGATTTAGGCGTTTAAGTGCAGATCGTAATGAAGTTTAAAAATACCTTTCACCAATTTTGTTCTCACATACTGAACACGATTGAGTGAGCTAGTATCGTTTGTCAGACTTGTGCTGGCTTCTTTCATACGGTCCTCTATGTGTGGTCTTACATAGATGGAATATAAGGTTCGTAACATCTCTTCGTCTAGCATTTGAACGCTCGATGAAGTGACCACAACGCACTCAACTCTTCAGCAGTGGATGCACTGCAATGAAAAGTTGTTTTTAAGCCGTGACTCTTGATTACTTTTAGGCCGTTCTTTTCCTGGAAGGATGGAAGAGATGTACCGTTAGTAGTATATTGGTAAGTATTACCGTGTACTTTGTGCATGAGCACACTCTTCCTAGAATTAAATTCAAAGCACCAACCTCAGACTCATCCAGCTTATTCGTCTAGGCCAGCTTGGCCATGAAAATTATCAGCCTTACTACTTGTTGTTCTATAGATTTTGACATTATCCACAAACATTAATGTCGACGACTAAAGAAATAGAGGTAATTCATTGGTGTAGAGAAAGACAAGTAGGTGACCTAAGGTGGTGCCTTGGAGTACATCATTTCTGAACAAATCCCATTCGGATAGCGTTCCATTAATCCTCAATTTCTTTTTCTCTCTGCGGTCACATAAGAAGTTTCCTATCCATTCCTGTACAGCACCTGTAATTCCGAAGCTCGAAAGCTTTTCTAAAGTCTGTAGATAGCACATCGACAGACTGACCGTTGTCCAAGACTGCTGTCCAATCTTCTATTTCAGAAGTTGGTCGAGCATGCATTCTTGTTTCGAAACCAGGAGTTAACAGATTGTACTAACTTATGCAGCTTAATAACTTGACCCGAACTATCTATTCAAGTAACTTAACGACTATGCTGCTTAGACTGTTGTTAGTTAGATACGGCCTCCCTCTAAATATCCTTAAATATAGGACTGACTATAGCATCTTTCCAATCCCTAAGGAGTTGGGCGTGTGAACGTAGCATGTTGAAGAGCATCGCGAATGGTCCGCAAGAGATGACAGCACTCGTGGATGTAACCCTCCAAGGCCCGGCATCTTACAAGGTTTGAGGTTAGTGATAAACAGAAAACCTTTCCCCAGCAACATGCACAGGTCCTATGGTTGATATTTCGGTGTGATTATGTACACACCGTGTGGAACCTCTTCTCACAATGCATTCCTTCTTCCATAGCGAATAAGTAATATGGCTGTCTACATTTGTAAGCAGAACCGACCATCTTAAAAGTTAACTAAAAATGGTAACCCAAAAGTGGCTATGAAAAAAATTTCAAGCCTTAACCGCATAAATCAAGTCAAATTCAACCAAGTATGCCTTGATGCAAAATAATACACAAAAGCAAAGTCAATACACTGAAGTACCATATCACTTTAGCTGAAATAAACTCAATTAAATTAGAAGCAGTAGTTTTTATGTATAATTTACGAACACGAAATTAAATTTAACTCAACGCGGAATATTACTGTTGTCTTTTTTTAATAGCGTGCAAGGATGTCCGCTTAACGTATGTTGATCTGGCAGTAAAGTTTTTCATGAACATGAACTGACCAAAAGGGGTGATTTTAAGCATTCATCAACGTCATTCCAGTCATTGATCAATCAATAGGATAGTGGAATTTCAGCACCGATCGATACGTGAGTACTTTTTGTCCATTTTATGAGCGTCGGAGTTCAGCACTTTCAGAGACAACAAACGAGTAGAACATGTTTCCGTTCGACACGTTATCTAAGATACGGAAAGCTAGTACGAGATTGTCCAGAAACTCCGAATAGAATGTTCCGCAAAAAGTGAAAAAAATTTGGCCTCCTGTAAAAAACTTTCGCATTACCATGATATCCCAAAACCTACATCCTCGAGACGTTTTAAGGCTCTGTGAAACAGATATATATGAAGAGGTCCCAAGCATCCTCTGTATTGCGATGTGCAGGTTTCCTTCAGAAATGATCTACGATCACTCTTGAATGCTCAGGAGGTTGGTGGTTGGAAAAACCCGAAATTTTTCAGTATTCGTGGTAGGTTTAACTTCATATATGCTTATTAACTCTAAAAACTGTAGCTCGTCACGAATAATTCGTAATATCGATTATTTGCCAATACATGGAAATATATCATTCTGTCTTATTCTTTGGCAATATTTATAGTTGTACTGACCACGTAACTCCAAAGTGTTATACGGTTTTCGAATATGTCGCGTTTTGGGCTTGTTAGCTGTTTATAGAATCAAAGTTGCCGTGGAAAACATTTTCTGATTTTTTGTCGGTCACAAATCTATCGAATGCACTGGCATCGATTATGTGAAATCATTGTAGTTGGTTTATTAGTCTATGTAGCCGCAGGTAGTATAATTTTACTTGAATGGCAACATTCGAGAACTACTTGTGGAGCAATACAATACACGTATTTTTCTTGTATAATTGTTAAGGAGCTAAACTATGTATATTCTTGTTCCTCTTATTATAAGCTTTATTTTGACCCATAGACTACTATTTAACCATTTAACAATCTTGAGGTATACCCACTCTATTAATTACAGTCTCTCATATTCACAGCCACATTTGGCTAGATCTTGTACAAATGTTGTTTTTTGTTTTGTGTTGCGATGTGGTCTGTTTGGTTTGTATATAAGCCCATTATGTTTAAAGTACATTATTTATTTAACAGAAGCTGATGCTGATGTTCTGGACTCAACAGAAAGAGATAAGCTCAGAGAAGGACCGATAAGAAATCTAGACTGCTCGTAAGTGGTCCAGTCAATAAATCACTGTTCTCCAATTGGCGGTGTCATTACGTTATACAATAATAGAACACATGGGCACAAGTTGTAACAATATTATCCAGTTCATATCACTTATCACTACACACTTTGTCCTTGCACATATTACTTTTGTACTTGGACAACGACAATAATCTTTTTTATGTGGTCCTTTCATATGAATTTCACAGCCTTTCATTTCACAACTTTGGATGTTTGGGTCTTGCTGGTCACATGCTGCTAATTATTTTTAAAACAGAATAATATTGTGACACTATTTCTGCCTTTTATTGCCATGTGTCAACGACTAACTCACCAAACCAGTGAGGGTCAATCTTTCTACAACACCGCCTTACTATTATCACCAAATACTGTCTCCATACCTTTATATAGTTTCTAAACAAGTGTTGTCGTCACAACGATCCGAACAGTTTCGACTAGTGGTCGTAAGAAGAGGTCGGACGTTTTTTAGTTGGAGCTTGTCCTTAATTATAGTTCCGAAGTAAGTATAACGTAAGGAAAGCATTTTTGAGATGTACGGAGGTCAAATCGATACGCTACTCGATCAGCTCTCCACACCGCCTGGCTGTCAAAACAAAGTCTGCCTTGCTATATATCTGAAGTGAGGTGTGGGCAAAAAATGATCTAGAAAGTTACGAAGTTCGAGTTTGCCTTGACTAGACTTACGATCCACATCAGTGATCTTCGTTATTACCAATAGTTCAGCCGGCCGTAGTTTTATATCAATTCATAAAATATTGTGCGATAGCCTACGCGGACTTTGACAATAAAATGAAAATGTTTGTTCCTCAAACTCGATCTCGAATTTGCGTTCCTGACCAATCCATTTACCATACAATGAATTTATTCACTCTTTTATTGCTGGCACGTTTAATAAATGCGTATGTATGGAGCACGTTGGATTAAAAAATTACTTTGTGTTTTAACCCTAATATGGTACTATCATCTAACCCATAGCAAAAATACATGGGGTTAATCGGGACCAGAAATAATAGCTGTGCATCATAACAATCTAGTTCACTGGAACTAAGGAGATACCAAAACGGAGTTTGTTCCACAAGAAGTCTGTTACTATGAATAGTGCGAATCCCATATTTCCCATTTCGAAAATTGATAGAATGAAGTTCTGAGCTACTTACTCACTTAAACCTTACATAGCTTCTACAGTTATTTTCATGTTTCATCAAGACTGCTCACAAATTAGTTGACATTTTAAGCGCGCTTCCAAGTATAGGTGATAGTTATGTACTACAACCACTACAGACACGTCTTTAAGCGCTGATATTCTTGACCCT